GTGGATGCCCACGCCAGGCCCTTCAGTGCCGTCGAGCCCATGTACGGGGCCACAGCCGCCACTGGAGCCAACGCCAGGTCGCCTGCTGCCACGGCCTCTGCGCTCCTGGGCAGAGCCAGGCATGCCCGTCCCAGCCTTGGGGCCAGCATCCTTCCTCCAGGGAAGGGCCCTGCGTCCTCACCCAGGGAGGGACTCCTGGCCCCACTGAGCCTGCTGGCCTTGCTGACCGTGGCGCTGGCCACACTGTACGGGCTGTCCCTGGGCTCACCTGAGCAGTAGCTGAGAGGAAAGCCTGACAATAAAGACCCTGCACTGAGTGCTCGCGTCCTCCATTTCCTCGGCAGCCTCAGCACCTGCACCTCTGCCCCACTCAGCCCCCGGGGACGGCACAGAGGGTGGCACAACCTTGTCCCTTTGTCCCTCATCCTCCCTCGCAGGATGGTCAGATGTCTGAGCCCAATACTAGGAAAACCTGGAAGTCCAAGTGTTGGATGGAAACGGTACCAGGCCCATTGCCCAAGGCAGCCCTGGCCGGTGCAGCTGAGTTGGTTGAGCAACCTCCTGGGCACCAAAAGGCTGCTGGTTCGACTCCTGGTGAGGGCACATGCCCGGGTTGCCAGCTTGATCCCCAGTAGGAAGCATGCAGGAGGCAGCCAAATGATTTGTTCTTGCATTGACGTTCCTTTCCCATCCTCTCTAAAAGTCAATTTTTTAAAAAGGAAGGGCCAGTAGCTCAAAATGTCTGCATTTATTATAAACCAAGGTACAGCTCCCAGACTCAGAAACGCATCAACAGTACAAAGTTGAGACAGATCTGGCGAGACAGTCACAGAGGGACGGGGACACCGAGGTATTCGTATCTGGGCCAGCGGCCCCCCGGGACCCCCCACCTTGGTTCAGAGGCTGGTGGCCCAGTGTCCCTGCTGCCAGGACAATGGAACGAGGGTCCAGGAGCTGGTGTGACGGAGACAGGAACTGTCAGGTCAGATGGTCCCTCTCCTCTGGGCCAATGTCCCTCTAGGACCCAGGGGTTTCAGCCTCAGCAACTATCACATACATTTTAAAACAAAAGAGGCAAAAAAAAAAAAAGTTTGGATAAAAGTACAACAAAGACACTGCAGGGAGGACACCTGAGTGTGTAGGTGGACAGAGGCCACCCTGTCCACCTGTGTCGGGGGCCAGGGCAGCCAGCACCGAGGCGATCTCCACGTGGTTTCAGGGCCTGGCTCCAGGGAACTATGGGATCAAAACCCAGCTTAGCCCGGCCCCACCCACCGCCCTGCAGCACAGCTCTGTTCTGTGATGGAGGCCACACCTGGGGCAGGCATGGCCTCAAGCAGGCTGGCCACTGCAGAGCCCGAGCATGTGCACTTGCTGCCCACAAAAAGCGGGGCTGTCCTAGTGACGACCCCCCAGCCTCCCGGGCGGTCTGGCCAGGAACTCACCCCATTCTTTGAGTTTTGCTTGGGATTTCAAGGAAGCATAATTTGAAGTGAGGAAGAGAACAAAGTATGGTTCCAGCAACTCTGGTGAGGATCATCCCCACCTTGTCATCATCACGTGTACAAACAGGACACACACACCGCACGGGTTGAAAGGCTGTGCCTGCATAGCCGCACAAGCACGCACACGCACACACGTGGACACACACACACACACACGCGCGCGATGCATCAAGTGGCAGCCAGAGATGCAGTGCGCTCAGCGGGTGGCCTTCGGGGGGTCCATGTAGGCTGGGTTGTAAGGAGGCTGGCTGGCAGGATAGGCCATGGCTGCATCCCCTGGAAACAGAGAGGGCAGAGTGGGCTGCGGGCGCCGCGGGAGCGGGAGCGGGAGCCGGGCAGGGTCAGAGGCGGCACTGGACTCACCAGCCAAGGTCTCGTGGTAGGCAGGCGGGCCCACGGGCTGGGCGGGGTACAGCGAGAGCCCGTGTGCTGTGTGCCCTGTGCCGGAGTCATTGCCACCCACCTGTCTGCCTGCCGCTTGGTAAGTGAGAACCCTGGGATTGGGCAGGGTGGGAAGGCCAAGGGCTCCGCCCCCCCCCCCCCCCCCCACGGGAAGGGAGAAATCAAACCTCCCCCAGCTGAGAGCTGATCGCACAAGACGCCACCTACGCTCTGGCTTCCTGCCCTGAAAGTGGGTCCTGGAGCTCACCACCTGTGCAGGGGGCCCGAGCGGTGCCTGCCCCCCTCCCACCCCACCTCAGACCGTGTCCCTGGGGCACTCACACCACTCTGTCCTCCCAGGCTCAGGCAGGCATCCACCATGCGCTCGCAGGCCCCGCCCCCAGGCCCCATGCAGACTCTGATCTTCTTGGACCTGGAGGCCACCGGCCTGCCCTTCTCCCAGCCCAAGATCACAGAGCTGTGCCTGCTGGCCGTCCACAGATGTGCCCTGGAGAGCCCGCCCGCCCCGCAGCCTC